CAGCATTTGCTATGGGTTGATGGCTTCATGACAGCCATTTTTTCCGGGGTGGGATGGAGTCTCTGTTCTTTTAATCTGCGTCTCTCACATGACCAGTGATGTGAACATTTGTTCCCACATTGTGGGTGGTCCTGGCCTGTTGCTTTCGCACACAGGACGCCTGAGCCCTCAGCACTTACGCCGGCTAGTGCGGCCCTTCGAGTCCACTGCTGCATCTCTCCGTGGGGGCCTCTGGGGTCGCCCGCAGTCACCGTGCCTCAGGTTTGACTCTCCCCTCGAGCAGTGAATCCCATCTCAGAGAAGGTGCTGCCTGCTGCTCCTTCGTTGAGGTTTCTCCCTTCAGTCCCCCTGGGCTTCAGTTTATGCTCCAGATCCTCCCTTGGTCCAGGGGACCCCTTCCAGTGTCTGGAGGGGCTCTTTCTCTGCCACTTACATTGTACTTGTAAAACCAGTCTAAGCATTACTTTGGCTAGTTAGCAACTTGGTATATATACTGTAGTATTCAGACAGGGTAAAATATTTCCCTCCAGGATGGGAGCTGGGCTTTGGGGCATAACTAAGAGAATGGGCAAAGAGAAAGTTACTGCAGTTGCAGCTTCAGTGAATTACCTTTTACCTGGTGACTCTTTGTGAGGTATGGCGGTTGGAAGGGAGGCCAGGATTGAAAAGGACAGAGAGGTGTGCCAGTGTCTAGAAGGAGGCCGGTTTTCCCCTGGAGTTATGATTACTCATCTCTGGAGGTGACTGAGATGACAGTCTGGCCAGAGGGAGGAGGCAGAGTGCCCCACCACCCTTCAGTCTGGCTAGACGAGCTGGGAAGTTGACTCTGAGCTCCTGGTTCTCTTGCCTCAGAGTGCAGTCTCACCTCCAGTGGCCCGCTGTGCAGTCAGGGCCCGGTGTGTGGGGCCGGCTCTTAAGGCAGTCCCTCTTAAGGTGGCCTGGCTCTTGGCAGCATAGTAGGTGAGGTTAGTAGTCATTGAACTCTTCCTGGAGCCCTGAAAATCAGACTCAGGGTCTGTATTTTCTTATTTTTTATTTTTATTTTTATTTTTATTTTTTTTGCGGTACTGGGAATCGAACTTACGACCTTGCACTAGCCAGGCAGGTGCTTATGCCACTGAGCTATATCCCCAACCAGGGTCTGTATTTTTTTAAGGCTGCAACAAAGGCAGCTGATTTTTGGTGTCTTTGCTTTCTCTGCTTGGCTTCCTTCCAGTATCGATTATAGAATAGTAAGGAGGCATTTTTTACTGAAGTACCAAGTGAGCTATTTGGAGCAAAAGCTGTCTTTTGTAACTTTTTCTTAATACCTGGAGCTGACTGGGTAATAAATATGTATTTAAGTGTACTCTGTCCTATTGACTAAGGAGCTATGGACATTTGTCAATGCTTTTCATAAATGATCTAAGAGGGCAGAGTGGTTTTCATCTTTTTCTTGATAAATAGTTGACAATTAAAATAGAGGGCTTGGTCTTTGTCCTTAGACCTTTAAGAATACATACCTGAAAATGTCTTTTGCTCTAATGTCCTGTTTGGCTTTTAGGCCAGCAGGTGTCTTGGGTAGGGATTGCTTCGCTCCAGTGGAACTTGTTCTTTCCCTGGCTGTCTTCTGGTCTTCTAAAACTAATAATGTGATATTCATCCCCAAATGCAACTGCCGGGCGTGGTGGCGCACGCCTGTAATCCCAGCACTCAGGAGGCTTGAGACAGGAGGATCGTTGTGAGTTCAAGACCACCAGCCTGGGCTACAAAGTGAGCTCAAGGCCAGCCTGAACTGCACAGGGAGACCCTGTCTCAAAAAGACCAAAAAAAAAAAAAAAAAGAAAAAAAGAAAGAAAGAAGGAAAAAGAAAAATCCCCAAATGCAATAGCAGCTTGCAAAGCTGCTTGTCTCTCACTAGAAGTCAATGTTTGATGTAAGGTTAACACTACGTCTTTCCAGTCTAGCTTATAGGTCTGAGTAAATCCTGTAAAGACCTCAATGTACTTACCAGGATCATCTGAAAGTCTTCCTAGATCTAGCTTGCTGTGTTTTAAGTCACTGAGAGAAAGAGACATATGAATGTGGGCAGTCTCATATGGATTATAATAAATAAGAATTACTTCTTAATGTAAAGGAAGTTTGAACATAGGCAGTTCTGACCATATTCCCTATTTTTTACAGTATGACTCTGGTTGTAAAATAGCATCATAATTAATTCTTTCCTCTGCGTTCCATTTTGACTCTAGGGGACAGGTAGGTCATGCAGTGCTTAAGAATGCATTCCAAAGGAGCAAGAGACTTCGACATTGAGCTCCTAGCAAATGAAATAGAATTAATTTCTATTTGATTTCTATACCCTTGTGCTGTCCCTCAAGTAGATTCCACTCCTGGCAGGTGGTTGCTGTCTAGAGAGAGAGCAGAAGACAAAATTTGACCAGCCTATCCACTGTCCATCTGGTGCACAATTTCATCTTCCCAGGGAGCCGGTGAACTTATTCCTGTGGGACATTTATGAGCACAAGTTACACTTGGTCTCAACTGTGACAGTAATGTTGAAAGAAGGAAGCATTACTTTGTCTTAACCCACGGGTTTTTAGTTCCTTAAAAGAGGGTGAGGCAAACAGATCAAAGACAATGCTTTTTATCTTGCAAAGGAGATCACCTTTATATACTAAAACACAAATAGCTTGGAGGATTTCACCCAGGAATTATCCTCCAAGACACCTGTGTTACCTACTTAATCATCTAGGCAACCTTTCCTTGCAGCAAGACAAGGCTACACCTTGAAGTTTGCTCAGATCGCTTAAGATCACAGGTTAAACTTACATGTATCATCTAGCAATGACAATTCACATGTTAGTGAAGGCATATTTATTAGTCTTCTGTGCACACATGAGAGAAAAAGGCTGACCGAAATCTTTTTACTCTTTCTTAGCATATGTAAGGCACAAATGTAAGTTATTCCCCTGATAGTTGTTTTCCTTCTTGAAAGGCAAACCGTTGTTGCAAGCTGCCCCAGCCTGATTCCTAGAGGGAGGGGCAGTCTAAGGACAAGGTGGTTTTAAACTTCTACCAAGTTGGAGAAAAATTGGGGTTTCTGGCTTAATAGTAAAGAGGGAAAGTATGATAGGTAAGTGGAGGTTTTGCTGTGTCGGGAGCCAGCTTTCACTGCGGAGCCTGTGGGTGTCCCCCAGAGAGCAGCCCTGCCACGGCCCCTCAGTTGATCTCAGTTTGCATTGGTCCACGCAACCAGAGATCTCCAGAAAGGAATCCAGCTGTCTGTCTAGTCAACATCCCATTGGCCGGTGGCTTCAATGGGGATTCCCCAAAAAGATGCTGGTGAAATTTGTCCTCCGCTTTAAGAGTGGCAGCTGCTCTTAAGAGTGTTTAGCTGGCAGAGAACCAGGGTTTGTCAGAGTTCTGTAGGGACAGGTAAAAGCCTGAGCAAGATTGTTACCTAGCACTTCATAAGTTTACAGTAAAGGTTTTAAAGTCCCCAACTTATTATCAAAGTATTTTCTCCTATGCACATAAATGATAACTAGACCTAGATGGGGAAGAGAAAAGGTCGGAGGTCCTCCCTCATGCTAAATGTGTTTTGGTCCCATAAACATGGTGCTTTGGAAATAGTTCCTTCTGGCTTCACCCAGAAGTGGGTTCTTTCCACCGTGTCTCAGGTTCAGCCTCCCAAGGGAGACCTGTCCAGAACACTAAGCCAGGACATGGCTTTTATGTGTATTCTCCTAGGGCAAAATTCCAGTGTCTTGTCTGACCCAGGGGCAGGTTGTGTGTCCTTCATCTAAGATGACTTCCCTGCCTTTGATGTTAGCAAATGCTCATTTTCTATGGGCTCAACTTAGTTGTTGGGTAGGAGGAAAAGGCTGGAAGACTTTAGAATTCTTTCTACCCTTGCATGCCTCCAAAAAAGGGAAGTACAACAAGGTAGGAAAAGATTAGAAGGTCAGAGAAAGGAAGTCTTATCTTCTCATGCTCACAGTGAGTTAACAGAGAAAATTTTAGCCTGAGTCTTCATTCTCAGCCTTGAAAGGCGAGAGTGGGGAATCTCAAGAGCTAAGATTGCCCTCACCAGCAGAAGATCAGACCAAAAAGGAAACTGAAGCAGAACAGGTTGACATTTCCCCTAGCGTGTAGAGGAGGATCTGAACCAGTCTGTCCCAGTAAAACCTCCCCTCCAAGTGTTAAGACCATCCACTGACATAATGTCCTTTAACTGGTGGAAGGAGTGCTGTGTTTTCTTATATAGGCATATATATTTTTCTAAGTATGGGCTAGATTTTATGTTTTAAGACCCATTTTACACTACTTTATATCAAAGCCCATCAGGGGATGCTCTAATATTTTGTTTCCCTGGTGCTGCTGTCTAAGATGATAAACCACAGCAGTCAAACAGTTCAGATCAAACAAGCCAAACAGATCAAACAGGGAACATTAGTAAATTTAGCATCTAAGTCCAAATGCACCATATACAAAGCAGGAGTAAAATGTCCCAGTAAAATGTAAAGAAACATCATAACCTTCCCATGTTTTCAACTTAAATTTAATTTTGATAAAATTTTATAAGAGACAAAGCATAAACAATTGTAAGCATTGGGGAAAGACTATTGGCTGGCTTTTTCTTAATAGATTCTTAAACTCTTAAATCCAACTATTTCTCATTGAAATTAGAAGTTTTTTTCACAGTGACTGCATGCTAAAAAAATCTTTTAAAAAGTGGTTTGAAATCCCTTTTCCACTGCCACATACAGTAGATTTTTTTAAAATCTCATTTTTAGAACCTGAGAAATTGGCATTTGTTTATTAAGTGTCAGTTTTAAAACTATCACCAGATGCAGTAATCCTAGCACTTGGAAGGCTGAGGCAGGAGGATTGAAGTGCATTTGAGGCAAGCCTGAACTATATAACAAGATCCTCTCTCAAAAACCAAACTGAAACAAAAAAAAAAATCCCTGCTTTTGAGAGTTTTATTGTTTAGCTTGTCTATTTACTTGTTTTTACAGAATTACAAAGCTGCCTGCGGAGATTTGAGAAATGGCAGCTAACGGAAGCGCTGGCATCTTCAGCTCCGCCTCATTGGCCGTGGAGTACATAGATTCGCTTCTGCCTGAGAACCCTCTGCAAGAACCATTTAAAAATGCTTGGAACTCTATGTTAAATAACTACACAAAGTTCCAGATTGCAACGTGGGGCTCCCTCATAGTTCATGAAGCTGTTTATTTCTTACTGTGTTTACCTGGATTTTTATTTCAATTTATACCTTACATGAAAAAGTACAAGATCCAAAAGGTGAGTGCGATGGGCTTGAGATAGGGCCTTATACTTGGTGTAGTTGAAACATTTTAAAAGCAAGTACAGCTTTGATGCCGTACTGGCCATGAATTTTTTGTTAACTTGTCTTTCTAATTGACATATATGCTAAACAGTATAGTGTGTTAGTTATAGTTGATTAGACATTGTAGTTTCTGTGCCTACATGGGTATAAGATTCTAGACAGAGAATTCAAGTGCCGTTGTCACCCCAAGCTGAAAGTTCAGTTAATTTTGTCCTCGATCACAGGTTTGGAGGAATGAGGTTTGAAAATGCTCAAGAGTAGAAATGCAAAGGGCATTGAATTGTGTCATATCTCATGTAACCCTCACTTGGGCGCTGAGGAAGCTTGTGAGTGTCACAGAGCTCCTTGGTCACTGGCAGTGTGGTTGGAGCCCTGGTCTCTAGTGTGCTTGATTTTTACTTTAGGGCTTTTGTTATTTCTGCCGGGAAGATACCTCTTGATGAATTTTAAAACCAGAACTACATCAAGAGACCTAGATTTTAGTCCAATTCTATTTATTGTCTTTATTTTTTTAAACAAAAGTACTTTTTCTTATGTAGGTGGCCTTTTAAATGGAATAATTCAGTGGTTTTGATAATGGCTTGCAGAGCAGTTCAGTGTGCTTAGGAGCTTTTATGAACATCTCCTACATTGACCTCACTTTCCTTATTTTAAATTTGAATTTCATCATCAGGGCATGTTTCTGAAGTTTTTTAGGTTCTCAGCGTTTATAATCGGGTCATTATGTATGAATGAAATGCACTATTTTACTGAAACATCAAGTTGCTTGTTCAGTAACAGTTTCCCGTGCTGTGTGTACACATGCTAAAGGTGAGGGTCACCCAGCTGTAATAGGGGAGTTATCACCTGTGGTTTTCTGTTTTAGATCATTGTGGCTAGGTTTGTCTTTTAATTGTTTTTCACCTGTTTAAGTAACGTAGCCATACCAGTTGCCAATAGCCTTAGTTATTGTAACGTGAAACTAATATAGTGCAGAATTAAGGTCTGTTGTGAACATTAGAGAAAAAAATTAGAAATTTCAGTTTGCTCTTCTGGACGTCAGGTTATAGCAGTGATTGACGTTATATGTTGTGCTCTTTCTCAATAGGATAAACCAGAGTCATTCGAAGGCCAGTGGAAATGTTTTAAAGTACTTCTCTTTAATCATTTTTGTATCCAGCTGCCTTTGATTTGTGGAACCTATTATTTTACAGAGTATTTCAACATTCCTTATGATTGGGAAACAATGCCAAGATGGTATGTAGACAAAAACTTGATTTTTATGTTCAGTCATGGTTTTTTACCTAATTAAATTATGCTTGATGTATACTTTCTTTCATTTGGTTAATGATTGCTTTAAACCTCAGAGGAAAATAAATAGAAAAGTGAACCATAGCACAAACTTCAAAATGTTCCGTTTTTTTCTATATTTAATACAGTATTTCATTGGAAGTGAGTTTCTGGCCTCAGAAGCTTTATGATTGTGTAGGAATTTACACAGTTATACTAAGAAGAAACGTGATATAACTTAAGTCCAAATTGAATGAAAAATGTGAGAGAACAGATTATGTGGTTTATAAAGTGGTGTCCATAGTCCATAGAGAGAGCTGTAGTATAGATTATAGATAGAGATATCTCCTGAGTGTAAGTACTATATTCTTGCTCAGATAACATTTAAATTCAACTCTTTGTCCCTGACATAGCTGCCCCTCCCTATTTATGCCTTTGGTGTCCCTGAATTCACTCAGCTATGGACTAAAATTTTGTTTTCTTTTATGGTGGGGAGAAGTTGTTCATTTGTTTTTGAGAGAGGATCTTACTATGTAGTTCATGCTGGCCTTTAACTTTTGTAATCCAGTCTGGCCTTAAACTCACAGTAATCCTCCTGACTCAGTCTCCTGAGTGCCAGAATTACAGGTATTCACCACCATGCCTGGCAGATTGAAAATATTTTTTAAAAGAAAAAAAATTGTGTCTTTACTGAACATATTTATGTAGCATTCACATTATATATTAAGTATTGTAAGTAATCTAAGATGATCTAAATATATGGGAGGATATGTGTAGATTTTAACAAATCTACACCTTTTTATAGAAGGGACTTGAGCATGTGTGGAGTTTGGAGTCCATAGGGGAATCCTGGACTCAACTCCTTGCAGATGCCGAAGGGTAACTGTACACTTTTTCTACATAATGACTATCATATGAAGGAATTTCTGAGTATTTTTGCATTTGTATATAAATTGCTTTTTTGACATTCGACCTAAATTATTTTTTTGCCTTATAACTGTACTTAGGAAATGCAGAAATGTCCTTCTCTTGTAGAAAAAGCTGTGATTGATGGACACATTAGTGCACACCTATAATTAAAGAATTAAAATTAAGTCCCAGAAAGTTTTTTAGAAAGGAGTGGGAGTGTGGGTTAGCAGAGGAGCTCTTACCTGACGTGTTTGAAGGCCTGAGTTCAGTCCCTTGTATCACCAAAGAGGAAAGAGGTGGCGTTGATTTAACTAGGCTTCATCTTAGTTCAAGTTCTTCGTCAGTGTTACTTTCTTGGAAATTTCAGATTGTGTTTCGTAATTGCAGTTTGAAAACTGGTCGTTGACAGAATGAAATGGAACAAAGGTAGTGCTCGTCTCTTGAGCCTTATCTCAGGGTATTTCTCACAGCCGTGTCTAGCAGTTTTCAGACCATGTTGATGAACATATGCAGTCAGGCTGAGCCGGTGACTTGGTTTTATGTGGAATCGCGAGCCTCGGTCCTCAGTGACTGCCCTGCTTTTATCACCTTCCCCTTAAAGGTACGCTCTTTTGGCGAGGTGCTTGGGATGTGCAGTCATCGAAGACACCTGGCACTATTTCTTGCATCGACTCTTACACCACAAGAGAATATATAAATACATTCATAAAGTTCATCATGAGTTTCAGGTATGTCAGAATTACATTTAATACTTTTTCTGTTAAAAGCAAAGTGTCTACTTTTATTGCCTGAGCATTTTTAAATGATTGTCTGTGATAGTGGGTATGATGGTACACACCTGTGATCTCAGCGTTTAGGGAGGCTGAGGCAGGAGAATTCCAAGTTTGAGGTCAGCTTGGGCTACATGCATAGTGAGGCCCTGTCTCAAAAAACAGTAGCAACAAAGTTTGTCAGTGAAGTTTTAGCTTTTCTTTGGCATGACACAGATAACACACAAAACCAATTCTAAAAATTTTTTTCCATATCTAAATTTCATGGTAAGTTGAGACATGGAAGAGAAAGATTACAAGACATAGCTGAGACTCAGTCCTGTGGCCAGAATGCTGTATTGACACCGTTACATACCTGGCAGTTTGATAGTGGCTATAGTAATATTAGGGACATTTAATGAGACCCCAAAGTAAGTACCCTAGTATCTAAGCCTCTAAGCCAAGTGTTGACTTAGTTGTAACTCATTTTTATCATCGAGTTGTTTCCCCAACAAAAACAGCGATTTTTTTTTTATTAGTCAGAATCGCTTTGACGTAGCTCTGTCACACCGGCTGTATCGGTGTGTTTCGCGTGGCTCATGATCACCACAGTCACTCCTTGCCCACGAGGAGACATTCCAAGAGGTCAGGTGCTGGTGATCCGATACTGGGTCCTCAGACGGCTGGCGGGGTCGATGACTGCTAGGCAGGTGGAGTACAGCGAGGGACTTGGGCCAGGCGGTTGGTTCGTGTCCTGGGAAGGGGTGCTGCTGACCTCACTGTACCAGTCAGTGCTGCTCAGTGTGACGCTCACCGGTGGTTCGTTTCTGGAACGTTCCCTTGGGTGTTTTGGGACAGTAGCTGAACCCGGGTAAAGGGCACTTTGCAGAGCAGAACTGTGGGATGAGGGGTTTTACTGGTCGTGGCACGCTGTCAGTCAGGCGTCTGTTTCTTGACAGAAGGAATACAAATGCATAAATAAAAAGTTATATTTCAGGTCAGTTGTTTAATGTCTTTATCTTAAACCATTAAAGAAAATGATTAAGATTTTATGCCTCTAGGAACAAAAACATACTTTTACTGAGAGCTATTATTTATGTGTGTGTGGTCAGATATATTATTAATGTAGAAGTATAGCATTATACAACCACATGTGTAAGCAGAAGGCGTGTACTCCCCACAGAAGCAGAGTCAATGTGTACGTAGGTGGGGATGGCCATGCAGTGAAGGAATTGACTCGGGGGATGGCTGGGGTTGGCAAGTCCCAAACGCAGGGCAAGCTGCAGGTTGGGAATTCTGGTAAGAATGGATATTATGGCGTTGGGTCCGTGTTCTGCTGGGAAACAAGTGAGAAATTTAGACAGGGTTCCTGCATTGTAGTCTTGAGGATTCCTTCTGCCTCGGGAAACCTCAGTCTCTTCTGTTAAGGCCTTCAGTGGTTGGGTGAAGCCCACCGTCCTCGTGGAGGGTAACCTCCTCTCACCCAAGACTACAGGTGAAATCTGAGCCCCGTCTAAAGCTTACCTTCGAAGCAACAGCTGGACCGTTTGGCCGCACGCTGAGCACTGTGTGTAGCCCGGCTAAGCTGATGCATAAAATTAACCATCGTGGTCTACTGAGGACTTCTTACTCTGTTTGGCTAGGCTCCATTTGGAATGGAAGCTGAATACGCACATCCTCTGGAAACCCTCATCCTTGGGACTGGATTTTTCATTGGAATCTTGCTTTTGTGTGATCATGTAGTTCTTCTTTGGGCTTGGGTGACCATACGTTTGATAGAAACTATTGACGTCCACAGGTGAGTTATTTTCTGTTCGCATATGAAGTGTGGTATTGAATATCTTTATTTTCATGGTCATACAATTGTCAGTATTTCTGAGTAAACTAATCTTTCTTGTGTTACTCTTTTTTTTAAATACAAGAACATAATCATAGATAATTTTTCAAATAATAGATTTTTATATTCCAATCTATGCTGTTACCATTTTTACAGCAGAAGTGTACTATTTAGGCAAATTAAATATCCAGACCAGCAATTTCTTTTTTTTTTTTTTTCTGGTACCGGCGATCGAACTCATGACCTTGTGCTTGCTGGTCAGGCGCTGTGCCGCTGAGCTAAATCCCCAGCCCCTCAGACCAGCGATTTCTTTATCCTGTATGAAACCTAACTCTAATTTTTATTTTGATAGTGCTGGGAATCAAACCCAGGGTCTTGCACATGTTAGGCAGGTGCTCTACACTGAGCTACATCCCCAACTTAGATCTAACTCTTGGTCTGAAAATATATTGAAGGCTTCAGCTTTCATTGAGTAAGACCCTTTCCAGTCTCCTCTGCCCAACGCTAATGAAAGTATTTGCGTGATGAAAGTCTTGCTTGGAGTACAGGCGTATTTCAGAGACTTCCTTTCTATTCATTGGCAGATGTTTTGTGTTAAATTATCTATATTGAATACCTTTTTGCATGCTTAATATCTTAACTTCACATTGTTTTAAAATTTCATTTTCACTGCAGTTTAACTTGGGACTTATAGCTGTGGCTAGGAATTTCTCCTTAATAGAAATAAAGGCGTATACTTGAAATGGACTCTGGAGTCATTCATGTTTTCCCAGTTACAGAAAAGGACAATGGTGTTTCAGTTGTGGTAGATTTAGTGCCAAATGTCATTGCCTGAAAAAGTAAAAGAGGGTGCTACACAGCAATTCTTGGGTGTAACTTTTAATACTTAGATATAAATTTTATGTAACTTTCAAAAAAAACCATAGGTAGCATTATAAACATTATTTACATCTGTTACAGATTATGATAGAAAAGCTCCTCAAAAACCAAATGAGAGTAATTCTTAATAATGAATGTCGAAAGATGCATTACTAAACCTCTTCTATCCCCTGATGTATTGCATAATTTCCATGGATTTTAAAAATTTCCTAGCATGGTTTTTAAAGTTTTTGCTTTTTTTTGTAAACATGTCCGAAGGAAGTAGTATAGACAGAGCAGGACAGCCTGTTCAGGAACGTGTCAGCTGTTTGGTGTGTTTCTCTTTCGCTAACCATCATTTTACCGCCTTGGTTTCAGCGGGTACGATATTCCTCTGAACCCTTTAAATCTCATCCCGTTCTATGCCGGCTCCCGGCATCATGACTTCCACCACATGAACTTCATTGGAAACTACGCCTCGACGTTTACATGGTGGGACAGGCTTTTTGGAACAGACTCTCAGTTTAATGCCTATAATGAAAAGATGAAGAAGATGCAGAAAAAAACTGAATAAATCTCTCTCAGACCTTCCCGAAGACCTGCGTTCTCCTGGATTGAAAGTAGTAGCTAACATTGCTTCCGGGGAGCACACATAAGCATGCGTCTTGGCTGCTAAGTGATAAAAAGAACATTGGGGCTGGGGATTTAGCTCAGTGGCACAGCGCCTGCCTGGCAAGCGCAAGGTCATGAGTTCAATTCCGGGTACCAGAAAAAAAAAAAAAAAAGAAAGAAGAACATTAACAACCTTTAATCATCTTCCTAGTGGGAACTTTTTCTACTTTACATACAAGTTCTGCGTATGTATAAATAAATAAATTTATATTTAAGTACGGTTTTCATGAGGTTAGCCATGTTGCTAACCTTACTAAGAGGTTTTTAGTAATGAAAGAAGTATTATGTGTCTTTTCCCCTAGTGCTACCAGAGACCTGAAGTTGACAGTGTCTTTAGGCCTGTTAAATACATACTGGTCATTCTTAATAATGGGTTGGCCTTACCTTTGAAACGGTCTTTAAAATTCGCCTGAAATCAAAATATCATGAATGGAACCGCAGCAGCTGATACAGTGAAGTGACCAAAGCCAGCAAATAAATCAGCAGCAGCCATCACCAAGAACTCGTAACTCCTGGCTGGCGCTGGCCAGTTGGGGGTGATGTTTGGGGAGTGATTTTTTTATTGCGGTACACTGTTGTGTCTATAAATTGGAACATTTCTGATCTGATGTAGGTGGAATATTTTTCAAATTTTTTAAAATTCAGCTTTATTTCTGCTATTTACCCTTCCATTTTTGTATAGTAAGTTTTCTTCTTAAATCTGTGTCTTGAACCTTCGTGAACTGACTCACTGTATTTGCACTTTGAGGTGTTGAAATAAATGCGATTTTTGTCTGACTTTCCTGGCTTCAGCTTTTGAGTATGTGCTGTTCACCTTTTATTCTTATAGGGAATCAGAGCCCGGTGTGGTATTGTGTGCCTGTAATCCCAGCACTTGCTGAACTGCTGCCTGGCAGTTGCCAGTTGGTTTGTCTCTTGTGGGAAATTCCACTGGTTCAGTAAAATGGCAGATACAGAAGCAGTTCTTTGCGCTGCTTAGAAAGTGTTTTCCCCACTGATGGGACAATAAAGCTGAACTTTTTAGGGCTGATAGAATCCCAGCATTTAAGATTCTCCAGTATCAAATCAAATACTGTTATTCTTAGAGGTGGTGGTATTTGTTATTTTTAATACTAACTGTGGTGGCACACACCTATAATCCCTGCTGCTCAGTAGGGAAGCTGAGGCAGGAAGATTGCAAGCTAGAGCCCCGTTTGAGCAATGTGTTGAGATCCTGTCTCAGTGGACATTTTAAAAAGGCTGGGGATGTAGCTCAGTGCAAAGACCCTGGGTTCAGTTCCCAGGGGGGAAAAAAAAAAAAAAACATTTTCTGAGAAATTTTTTCCCTCTTTTTGAAAACTTACACAGTAAAAACCCAAGTATTTTGGTACCCCATATTTTATAACTTATTCATGGTTCATACCTGCCCCCCCCCCCCCCCCCGCAGTGTTTGTAAAAGTGTTAAGCTTCCAATGCTAACAGCACTTTGGGGGCTGCATTTAAAATGGTGCTAATTACAAGATACCATAAGTGCTTCCCACCTAGCACTCACAAGCCTGAGGGTAGGATTGGGCTGTGCAGTGAGTTCAAGGCAACCTGGACTACACTGCAAGACCCTGTCAGGAAAAAAATTTGTTTTCTTTCCCTAATATGCATAGACGGCATAGACATCTGAATTAGCAATAAAAGCTGACTGCCCTTTCAGCATCTGGGGAGTGACCCTTTCTGATGCTTCACATTTTAAACAAGTCAGTCGATTTCAATTTCACTTTTTTTCCGTTTGGTGCTAGAGATGGAACGCGGGACCTTGTATATGCTGAGCACATGCTCTAAGCTGAGCTACATGTCCTGCTTGCTCCTTCAGAGCTGTGACATTTACTGAGCACTGACTATGCCCTATGGTTTCTGCCTGGATGTCCCCCCAAAGCCACATGCAGTCATGGGGCGGCTTCCAGGGTTCGTGATTGATTCCTGGTGCAATGCTGGGATTATGGGTGTGAGTGCTACACTGCCCTGGGGTGGGTAGTTTGCATACAATGTAAGGGAGGGAAAGAGGCTGCTTGCTGCTGCTCCTCCCTTTTTGCTCTTGTGGCTTTTTGGTGTTTTCCGCTGCCATGAACGGTTGCCCTCTGCCACGTGCCCCTCTGCCTTGGAGCCAGCCGAGTATGGACTGAAACCTCCACAAACTGTGAACTAAATAAACCTTTCCTTTCTTCATTTTGGGAGTTGGGTATTTTGTCCCAGCAACGAAAGAAAAGTAACCCAGACAGCTGTAAAATGTGTGGGCTTTCAGTGCATGTTTGCCTTTATCTCCGAGATGAATGCCGCTTCCTCTTCGTGGACGAGAGAACTGTCTGAGAGTCTATGATCGCAGGGCTGACGAGAGCCTGGGCTTGTGGTTGCTTTGTTCACTCTGCTGTAGAGCTGCGTTGTGAAATTCCAGGGAACAGTTAGCAAGCTTCATCCCACCATCCCGCCTTTCTCACTGAGGTCTTCCTCCTACTTCGGACGAGAGGACCGCCCACTCCCTGGCCTCGGCTCGTGACGCTCCCACTCCCCGTGCACCACCTTGCATTGCTGCTGCTCTGGCCAGAGATTTCTGTACTTTGTATTCTGTGCTTTCAGTCTTCTGTCCCTTTGCTCTCCCTTATCTCCCAGCGGTGACATTTATTAACATGGGCAAAGGCACAGGACAGCAGAGCCTTGTACCCTGAACTTGTAAAAGTGATCACAGAGCCATGTGAGGTGACTAGGCAGCAAGTCAGTCTTCTTGAGCTTTGTATGAAGTGTGATAAAAAACTGTTCAAGCATTTTTACTGCAGTAGAAGACGCGTGATTAATCGCCTTCAAGATACTCCCTCGAGCTGTGAACACACACCCCATCGGTCTTGCCACCTCCTTAAGCAGTTCTGGGATTCCTCCCTTGTGCATTTAGTTGTGGTGCCCTGGCTGCTTCGGTGTCCTGAAGCGGCTCCAAACGTTGATCTTTCGTGGTCCTTTTGACTTTGAGGAAGAGCCCGAAGCCACCTGTTGCCAGATCCAGTGAATAAGGTGGAGGAGGGCACACCCGAGTGTTTGCCAGCCTGCCTTCCTGTTGGATGGCTCTTAGCAGCCGCATTCACCACGTGTTGTTTTTAAAAGCACATTTCATAAAGGCGTTCATGAAAGAGGACATAAGACTGCTTCAGAAAGTGGCAAAAGTGATGCGATGAGTGTATTGCAAGTAAGGGGGAGTATTTTGAGGGGGATGAATGGCTATGTGTCTTTTATTGTGATTTTCCAAATTGAAACATCATATATTTTGATCACACATCGTGAGCTTTTTTTCCTGTGGATTGGGTTCAGTTTCTTCAGAGAGGAATCGCCCAATGTCTGGAACAAACTGCTCAGAAGCCGTCATTGGGGACATCAAATGTGAGAAGGAAGCTGAGGGCCAACAGCCCTGTGTGTGTGCCTTGTTGGAGTCCCTGTGTCCTCAGCATGGGTTCTCCTCATCCAATGGCTGCTCCACCTGGAGAGTCCCGAAACTTTAGTTTTTCTGAAGAATAAAACTGCTTTCTCAAGGTGGTAGCCGTACGGAGTTGGAGAGGGGATCTGTGGCCTAAACATTTTGTGATGGGAGTATTGCATTGATCGAAAAGTTGGGGTTCAGTATTTTACAGTGCTGTAGTATTTACTTTTCACTGACATACACCATAAAACATACAAGGAAAACATATAGCCTGAGGAGTGAGCACATGATCACTAATCAAGAGCTTGACTATCTTGTATCAATTTTCTACGTTTGACTAGATATATAGTTAAGAGCCTCTACCTGTCTGAACAACTGAATCCTCATCATCTTGACCAATGAGAGTTCCTGTGTGAGCTGAGGCTGTCCTTCAGATGAAAAGGCGTACCATATTCATGGATCCGAAGACTTAATATCAATAAGATGACACTACTTTCCCAATTTACCCTCAGATTCCATACAGTCCCTACCAAAATCCCAGCTCCTTTTTATGGAAATCATCAAGTTGATCTTAAAATGTATACAGAAATTCAGGTGACCCAGAATAGTTATGATGATCTTGAAGAACAAAGTTGAAGGACTCACATTGCTTAGTTTTAAAACTCAACAAAATGGGGCCAGGGATATAGCTCAGTAGCACAGCACTTGCCTAGCAAGCACAAGGTCCTGAGTCTGATTCCCAGTACAAATAAATGAAAAAATAAAACTCAACAAAATTAGTTTTTTCAAGACAATGTGTTACTGACATAAGGATAGATATAGAGATAAATGGAATAGGATTGAGATTCAAACATAAAGAAGTTGATGGTCAATTGAGTTTGATAAGGGTGTCAAAACAATTCAACAGATAAAGAATAGTCTTTTCAACAAATGATTTTAGGATATGCAGATGTCCACATTCATAAGGATAAAAGTATACCTCTATCTTTATCCATATACAAAAATCAATTCAAAATAGATTATAGCACTAAATGTGAAAGCAAAAATGACAAAACTCTTAGAAGAACATTTAGGAATGGCTATTAGGTTTGAGTGATTCTCAGTAGTTACAACCCTCAAAATCCCAGGCAACAAAATAAAATAATTGACAAATTACACTTCATCAAGACTAAAAAGTTTTGTGTTGCAAATGATGGTTATCAGGAAAATGAAGATTTGTAGACACTTCTTGGCATCATTCCGATCTCTGGCTTCCTTTTCACATGGTAGTGGTGGTAGAGGTGGCATGCATGCATGCATGTGTGTGTGTGTGTGTGTGTGTGTGTGTGTGTGTGTGTTTCTTTGGTCTGAGCGTCCCCTTTATAAGAACCACAGTCAGGGCCGGGGATATAGCTCAGTGGCACAAATGACTGCCTGGCAAGTGTGGGGTCCTGAGTTCGATTCCCAGTACAGAAAACAAAAAGTAGTCAAAAAGTATTGGATTGTGGTTCACCCTAATGACCTCTTCTCACTTAGAACCTTTGCAAAGATCCACTGTCCAAATAAGCTCATGTTCACAGGTAGAGGGCGTAAGGGCTTCAGCATCTTTTAGGGAAACACAAGTCAATCTGTAACCAATATTGTGGTCATTATTTGCTTAATTCTGAATGTAAGATTAGGGTTGTTAGAATAGTGCTTACTCTCCATGTTCCCTCTTTAAGACTGTGAAACAGAGGGAAGCTGTTTCTCTACTGCTTTGTTTGAACACTCACCTGGAAGGAAGTCTGGTTTTCTAGGATGGGTGAAAACATTTCATATTGCTTTTGTACCCTCACTGATTTTAAGTCATTTTGTTTAGACCTCTACCCAAAGTTTGAATCTCTTTTCTTAAACAAAGTCAGAAAAAGGCTGAAAGCTGAGACCACCACCCATCCTAACCCAATGGTTTGTTGGCTCACAGCTGACAATATTTTGCCTGAAGGTAAGGTGTAGGGCCAAGGAAATGGCACAGGAGGTACACACCTTGGTTTGGGGGTCCGACTCTACTCTTTACTGCGGACTGGCTGTGTGGCCTTAGGTTTTTCAGTTGAGTCTCTTTCCTTGTCTGTCAGATGGAGATAGTACTGCTTACCTTTTGTGATTTAAAGAATTAAACAGAGTGAACTATTTAAAAAAAACTCAGCAGAGTTTCAAATCAAAGTAGAAATGACAAAAACAAAACAGCAAATTAAAGCAAATGAGGTTTAAGCTTATGAGTTATTTAGCTGACATTTTTCAAATGAGCTGTTGCCTAGTTTAGTTCCAAGAAATGGAAGACTTGAGAACTATGGGAGATCCTTTTCATTGTGTGCTGTTATTTTCCCCTGGAC